TTGGCCTCTGGCCCCAGTCCTGATGCCCCTTCCCGCTCCCCCCCACTGCTCCCCGAGGCAAGCGGGCTCTGAGCATGTCCACAGGTGTCCTGAGGGGTGTGGTGCTGACTCAGCATCTCCTTTCTCTGGGGGCCAAAGCTGTGTTACACAAAGAGAAAGCTAAATTTATGCTGGGGGCAGGGGACACACTACAGAAGACACAGACATGGCTGCTTCTCACAGCCTGGCAGGGGAAGCTGGTGTGTGTGTGTGTGTGTGTGTGTGTGTGTGTGTGTGTGTGCGCGCGCGCGCGCTCCAGAGCAAGTACACACCTCCCTCACCCTTTCCAGGATCCTTATGGCCTCGCTGAATCTCTTCAGTAGGGACCATAACCCATGGAGAGTCACCACCTTCCCATGTTCTGAGCCTCCCTCACCAACACCCTACCCCCTCCTTCCCTGTGTGCCCAGTGTTGCTCTGAATGGGCATTGACATCCCCGGGAATGGGGCTTTCTTGTCACCCTTTGCCACTCAGCCCCAACTTCACCTCCTGGGACAGGCCCAGAGTGCTTTTCTACCCTTAGATAAAGCAGTGCCCAGACTGTGGGCAGTCACGCCCAGGTTGTTTGTCCATGTTCTGTGGCAGGCTGGGCCCCAGGCTATGCTTTATTCCTGAACCGTCACTGCTCACAGCCGCCGCCCAAGGGGCCCAAGCTGCCATCCTCCTTTAGTAAGATTAACAGTTCCACTGACCACCCAAGGCCAATGTATTGTTGCAGCCCAGCTGCTCACAGCAAGCAGACCTGTCACCGTCTTCACCAATGGCAGAGCCACCTGGACCGGCCTTCCAGGAAACAGCAGCATCAGCCAGCCCTTAGCCTGCACCAAGGATCCAGGCAGGGCGTCCTGTGAGTCTCATGGTTCCTGGCAGCTAACAAATGGAAGAGTGGAGATCTAAGAGCACCACTGGGGGACCAAGCTGTGATTCATAAAATTTGGGTCGGTCTAATTGGGTGTTCTCTGAGGATACCATCCAGCAGCCAGGCTAACAAAAGGGAAGCTACCGTGGTACTAGTTCTGTAGTCTCTTTCTCTCTCTCTCTCTCTCTCTCTCTCTCTCTCTCTCTCTCTCTCCACACATACACACACTATACAGACTCACAAACACATCCATATATATATATATATATATATATATATATATATATATATATATATATATATATATATATATACTCATTCACACAACCACATACTCACACTCTCAGCTACTCACTCAAATACACATTCACATGAACACACACACACACACACATACACGTCACTTTTTCTTTAATGTGATAGGCTAACTGAGAAGAAGTAAAGAATCCAGCATAGGGGTGCACACCTTTAATCCCAGCACTTGGGAGGCAGAGGCAGTCGGATATCTGTGAGTTCAATGCCAGCCTGATCTACATAGCAAGTTCCAGGACAGCCAGGCCTACATAGAGAGGCCCTGTCTCAAAGGAGGAGGAGGGGGAATTTTTTTTGACTCAGTTTCAGAGGGTCTAGCCCATAGTCAGCTGTGGGCTAAGGGTCAGGCTGAATACCATGGCAGGAAGTGTCTGTGTTGAAGCAAGGCAACTCACCTCACACTAGACAGAAAACAGGGAGAGACAGGAAGGGGCTAGGACAGGGAGTGACCACCCCCAGTGACCTACTTCTCCAGCTAAGCCTCATGTCCTGAAGTTCCCACCATCTCCTAAAATAGCAGTTGAGGACCAACTGTCAACATGTGAGTCTGGGGGTGGGTAGATAGCTCATATATATACTCTGTGTGTGTGTGTGTGTGTGTGTGTGTGTTTGTGTGTATGTGTGTGTGTGTGTGTGTGTGTGTGTGTGTGTGTTTGTGTGTATGTGTGTGGGGTGTGTGTGTGTGTGTTTGTGTGTATGTGTGTGTGTGTGCGCGCGTGTGTGTGGGGTGTGTGTGTGTGTGTGTGTGTGTGTGTGTGTGTGTGTGTGTGTGTGTGTGTGTGTTTAGTGTGTGTGTGTGTGTGTTGGTTTTTCAAGACAGGGTTTCTCTGTGTAGCCCTGGCTGTCCTAGAACTCCCTCTGTAGACCAGGCTGGCCTCAAACTCAGAGATTCACCTGCCTCTGCCTCCCAAGTGTGGGATTAACGGCCCGTGCCACCACTGCCTGGCCTACATACATTCTTTCACCACACTCTGGCACATCTCACTACCTGATGTTCCCTGAGAGATGTCATCAGTCTGCCCTTCTCTGCTCCCCTGGGATGTAGCTGCATCTGGGCTGCTGTAATTACCACTAGAGCCTGGTGCTGCACCAGACGCAGCCGGTGCCCAGTGAGTGTAGGGCGCAGATGGCCGAACAGTTGCCTAAGTGAGGAGCACATAGGGCCGGGGCCCCTCATCTCTTATTTCTTTTAAGGTTTTATTTTGGGTTTTGTTTGTACTGGTGATCATTAAATAGAGGGCCTTCCACATGGTGGGCAAAAACTATACCACTCATGCACATCCCTGGATCCCTCATCTCTCCTGTACAGCCATGTAAAGGCTGGAGTAGCTGAGAGTCAAAGCAAGATTGATAAGGGAAAGACAGCTGCACTGATATGGCCAATAATGTGACATGCTAAATAAAGATAAACATCCTGGCCAAGGAAAATTCACAGATGACTAACCACCTATAAATGGACAAGAAGGGGGAGTGCGGAGTGAATGGGTTCAGCCAGCATCAGCTGTGACTCAGGACAAGGCCTGCTGGTGTCAACCACAGCGTAGCCAGGCCCAGCTGTCCCCAGACACTGGTCCTCATAGTCATTGGGACAAAAGCTGTCATCAGCAGAGTGAGGGGGGCACTTGCAAGCATAGCTCAGGTGTCTCTGACAGTGTCCCTAGAGCCATGCCGTCTGACAGACGTGCCTCTCTCGTCACTGTGTGGGAATATCAGACTGTGATACAGTTGTCTGTCGTGGGTTGGGTTAGTTACGTGTGCTCAGTTATCTCGGCATTGTTTTGAGAAGTTAAACTTAACAGAGGATTCTGGCCGAGAAGCTTCCAGAAAACTTCAAGCCCAATACGGCCTTCTCATCTGAGCTGGCTACAGGCAGCTAGGAAAACCAAAGACAAATTCCCAGCCAGCATGTGGTCCCAGGGCCACAACTCATGACATCTCAACCTTGGCACTGTCTCAAGTCAAGTGCTGACCAGGAACCTGGGGTCTGGTGTGGCTGTGATGTCTCTGTAGGCTTTCTTATTGTTGCTGCAGGGCATCTCTAACTTACAAATATATTCCTTGTCTCAAAGGGCCTCACCACGCTTACTGGTTGGCAGGGCTTCACAGGAAAAAAGTAACTAGAAACACCCAGTTTACCCTGCTTTGCTGGGACCCAGCCCAGTGGGAGTCGTAACAGAGCCCAGAACATGGAAAACCTTCTGATTGAATCTGGTTCTCACATCATCAAGTCACATGACTTTGAGGGTGTCGTTCACCACTTTGCATCTGTGTTCTTCTGGTGAAATGGGAGCTTCTACATATCCCTTCTCGAAGACCCCGAGGATTAAATGAGACAGCATGGGAAACCCATTGCCCACCTCCGTCACCATCACCCAGGCACATGTGTCCTAGGGACAAGCAGCAGCCCCAAGGAAGGAGCCTTCCAGTCTCTGGTTACCCAGGTGCCACCCTGGTCCCCACCTCCATCCTCTATGTATCTGTGCTCCCCCTCTCCCCTTTCCTTTAGAGAGATGTCTAGAATGATGGTTAGTTCTGATCATCAACTGACATCATGTAGAATCACCTGCACTATCTAGATCAGGTTGGCCTGTCGGCATGTCTGTGGGAGGTTGTTTGATCCTCTATCAACTTAGGAAGATCCAGACTAGAAGTTGATGGTACCATAGCCTGAGCTTGGGTCCTGGATTGTATAAAAGAGGAGAGAGTGAGCTGAGTAAGTAGATGTGATTCATTCTCTCTCTGCTCTTGACTATGGGGATGACTAGCTGCTTCAAGTTCCTGCCTCAACTTCCTCAAAGTGGTGTGCTGTGACCTGGAGGTGTAAGCTGACTAAATCTTTCTTGAGGTTGCTTTTGTCAGGATATTTCATCACAGCGACAGAAACAAAACCAAGCACCTAGCATTGGGGGTAGGAACCACCCTGACTCCGGAATGGTCTCACCTCAAGACCTTCAATTCAAGCACAGCTGCCAGGATCCATTTTCACTCTGGGGCACAGTTGCCGGTTCTGGAGAACGGGGTGTAAACATAGATTTTGAGGGGTCAACAGTTCAGCCGGTCACCTTGTCCCTTCAGGCGTCTGAACCAGCCCTGGGTCAAGAGACAGTGGAGAGTGATTGGACAGACAGTGGGCATGGCTGCCGTGGTTTCAGGGTAGAGTTTATAACCACTAAAGGCAAGCTAGCCAGGCCTGCTGCGGGGTTGTTCCGAGTTTATCACTTTGGTAAGTCGATAGCGATGTTGCTAGGTGCCCCTGAAGGCTTAGTAGATTTTGTGTTTCTTTTTCTCTTTTTCAAAATGAAAATCATTTTCTTGATTACATTATAAAATCAGATGCTAAAAGAAATAATAGAGGCTTATTTAGGATTTTTCAGATATTTTTAAAAAAAGTGTAAAAGTCATCCAAAATCACACCCTTCCTGATGGGCATCTTGATCTGTTTCCTGTAAAGTGGGGGGCAGGCAGGGTCCTGCCACCTGATGGTTGCCCTGCCTGTCTCTACACCAATAACCATGGGCGAGAGTCATCTTTGCCGTCATCTGACTCTGTTGTAAGACCAGCCTCTCATACTGCTTTTCCTTCTATATTATTATGGGTCCGTAGCGGGCCACCAGGTGTCCTAGTGGCCGGCCGTGACAGTGTGTTTCCCAGGAATGGAGGACTTTCTCCTTTGTACTGGCATGGGTTGCCTTCTTCCACACATCTGCCACCACGGGCCTCGGCACCTCTGCATTTAAGAGCATTCTCAGCTCTCAGCAGTAACCACAGGTCTCCTCCGTGTCTGCACAGGCCATGTTTGAGCTGGTCACCTCCGAAGCCTCCTACTACAAGAGCCTGAACCTGCTGGTGTCACACTTCATGGAGAATGAGCGGCTGAAGAAGATCCTGCACCCGTCCGAGGCCCACATCCTCTTTTCCAATGTCCTGGATGTCATGGCTGTGAGTGAACGGTGAGTCCTGCTGGGCCAGCTTCCTCCGTCTCTTCTCCATGTCAGGGTGTGTTTTGAATGCTCTGGACTTTACATAAAGAAATAGGGTAAAGTTGTACATCTAGGCACTGGGGAGACGGCTCATTGGGTAAAGTGTTTGTCTTGCAAGCACAAAGACTTGAGTTTGATCCCCAGAAGCCACATGGAAAGCCAGGTGCAGTGGGACACACTTGTATCTCCAGTGCTGGGCATGTGGAGACAGGAAAATCACTGGGTCTGGCTGATCAACTACCCAGTCTAGCCTAATTGGTGAGCTCCAGACTAATGAGAGATTGTCTCAAAAAATTAGGCAGATGGCTCCTGAGGAGTGACCTCTGACCTACACACACAAGTGTACAAAGGCTCACCATCTTCTCCAGCAGGGTGGCCAGTGGTACCCACTCTCCAACCCCCCACACGCCCCTGTAACCCATCTCTTCCTGTCAACCCCCCAAGCCCTGTGCATCCTTACAGAGCTGTGAGTTGGAGGACTCTCCCTAACTGGTTGGAGTGATATTAAGTTGAGTCTTAGGCATGAAACCCACAGGCAAGTCTGGATGGGGTCTCATGGCAATTTCCAAGGTCATCTGGGAGCGACTGCTCACCCTGAGGTGCCCAAGCCTAAATGCCCCTGCAGGCCAGTGCCAATGGAGCCCAGACTGCTCCTTCCCTCTCCTCTCCCATGAGGCATCCAGGAGTCCAGGAAAGGATGTGAGATCTGTGTTTCCTGAAGTTGGATCCACATGAAGGAGGAAGTGAGTTCCTGTGGAGGAAATTAGGATGAAGGGCTCACTGAGCAACGTCCCAGCAACCTGGGCAGCCAACTTCCCACATTCACATGAAGCAGGGTGTGGCAGAGGCAACCCTCCCCTTCAGTGGAGGGTCACTCTGTGCCCGAATGCTCCTACAGTCACCCCTTTGCACTGATATCTGCCTGTTCTTTGTTATCTGTGTCTCCCCCCAACCCCCTGTGACCGTCCTATCCAGTAACTATGGCTCAGTGAGGCCAGAGCAACCTGTGAGATCTCCGAGCTTGCTTTTTACCTATCAACTTGAATTTTAATTTGAAAATTTCCAGAATTCAGAAGTAGAGACATCATGTTACAAGCCCCATGTGTTGGCCGCTGGCTTAATTCATGATGGACATGGGGTCAGTCTAGGTTCATCCGATCCCTGCCTTTCCTAGTTAGTACCCAGGGGACCGTTGTGAGGCACAGCTTGACTGCCATTCTGTTACATCAGTACACACTTAAGAGATAAAAATGAGCCTCGTGCCTTCTTCTCCCTCTCTGCATACTCCTGATGATGTCATCCACCTAAAAACACAGCTGTTCCCGACTGTGCCCAGATGTGCCACCAGCATGCAGAGTCCCACCCACCTTGTCAGTGAGTGTGCTGGTTTGTTTAGGCAGCTGATTTCCAGGTGCCTTCAGCCCAGACTTTGTCTCTTGCAGGTTTTTGCTGGAGCTGGAACACCGCATGGAGGAGAATATCGTTATCTCGGATGTGTGCGACATCGTGTACCGCTACGCAGCCGACCACTTCTCAGTCTATATCACTTATGTCAGTAACCAGACCTACCAGGAGAGGACATACAAGCAGCTCCTGTGAGTATACCTTGCCTGGGCTCAGGCATCCTTGCCTGGGCATTCCCCGGGAGCACACTAAGTCAGAATTGGCCAGGCTGGTGATGGCATACAAATCTAGCATTTCCTTGAGCATCATTGTATCACTAGGAAACCTTGAATCCACCTGTACTCCAGGAGAGTCAGCTGAAGCCCCCCAGACCTGTGTCCAGAAGTAAAGCCTTGTAGGAAAGACTGTGTAGCCACAGGAATGATCCAAGGTCCAGAACACTGGAAATGTGGGTGTGAGGTAGTGTGAAAGGCAAAGGTGAGCCGGAAGGCTCGTGACGCCCATCAGCTGGGAGTCAGTCTCCATTTCGTGACCTTGCTTTGCACCACCGGGAAGGGCTTTTCTTGTGGTACCACCCATGTAAAAAGTAAAAGACTCTCTAGTAAGGCTCCTATCCTGGGGAAGCAAGACCAGGTTTGCAGCCCCAGTCATAGGCATGGGGGTCTCTGGAATGCCCTGAGAACAGAGGCAAGGTTAGGGACCTCAGCAGGACAGCTAAATCTACACAAGCTGCCTGAGGGGGCTGGCAAGCTCTGCCTGGCACATGGCAGCAGGTACTGTGTTGAGAAGCTCTGAGGTCAAAGGTGGCAGTTCTGTGACAGTCGCTAAGAGGCAATACTGCAGCTGGCCCCAAGGGAGAGTTTCTAGAGCAGTTATTTGTGACAGAGAGATCCCCATGGCTTCTAGGCTCTGTTGGAGGTGGTGTGTCAGGATGGTTTCTGTGTGATGCATGTCCTCTGTTCAAATAGTGTCTGGATTTGGGTGGCTTTTCTATCAAGCCACAAGGTTAAAGTGGACATTTTAAAGTTTGAGCATCCCGGCATTTGAGTGCTTTCCAGTAACTGTTGGAAAGTGGAGGGAATCGGAGTGCTATTTTTCAGATCAAAAGACAAGCAGAATAGGTGTTCCTGTCTTGCAGTTTGCAAGAATCTCCCAGGTGGCTAGTCACCATTGCCCTGGGTGTGCAGATCCCCCGGCCCCACTAGAAGCAGGTGCAGGGTGCTGCTGCCCTGCAGTACGTCTCTGGCCACTGTGCCACGTGGCCGTACGTCTCTGGCCTTCAGCAGCACTGGGCCACGTGGCCAAGCCCACCTGTCAAAAATAGCCCAGGCTCCCCTGGCAGGTGCCTTGAGCCTGCCTGCCGCGGTCTCCACCGCTGCTGCATCACTACGTGGGTTTACCTCGCCACGGCTTCCTGCCGGGTGAAGTCATCTAATTGTATGTCTGATTCATAACCTTGGCTACAATGAGATTCTTACCCCTCCCACACAAATCATGTTTTGCCAAGTCTTCATGGCCCGGCATATGGAGCCACTATTGTTATTTGACGTTCACATGAACGGTTTATTTTCCATTAAAAATAATGAGGAGGGGGAGGGAGCAGGAGAGGGAGGGAGATCTCAGCATGTGCCTGTGGTTTGTCTGGCCTCCGGAAGGCTGTGTGTGGGGAGGGGGAGCATCTCCTGTTCACATCTCCAGGCCCTGAGCTCAGAGACAGTCCCCTGTGTCTGGATCTTCAGACAGGAGAAGGCGACTTTTCGGGAGCTGATCGCACAGCTGGAGCTGGACCCCAAATGCAAGGGCCTGCCATTCTCCTCCTTCCTCATCTTGCCCTTCCAGAGGATCACAAGACTCAAGCTGCTGGTCCAGGTGTGACTCCTAACAGTGCCCGGGGCTCTGCGGGCCTCCCCTGCCCAGGCCCTCACTCCTTCCAGCTCCCTGCTGGTATTTTAGGGAATCCATTTGTTAAACAAGTCCTGTGGTACTCCAAGCAATGGGGGCTCAGCTCTTATCCCAGAAGGAAAGATCAGTAGACATGTAACCGGGAAGTGGGCATCGCTGTGAGGATTAAAGATGAGTTAGCCCAGTCAACAGTGCCTGAGGCTCAGCTTAAAGGAACCAGCATATCAACATCTGGAAGAAAGAACATTGTATGTACAGAAAGCTGAATGTCCAAAGGTCCTGGGGAAACAAGATCCATCACAGAAGGGCCTGCCATGAGCTCAAGAAGCATGATGGGAAGGAATACAGAGACATGGGGGAGCAGATCTGGGGGGAAGGGGGAAATCAGGTTCCATCCTCACCTGATCTGGTTGACATTTGTCAGGGCTCACTGAGGCTGCTACAGAGGGAGAGCAGGAGGGCAGGAGTAGACAGAGGAAAGGGTTATACTTGGCCTGAGGGCGAGAGAAGCAAGGTGAATGTAACTGAATGGAAAAAAACTGAGGAATTGGAGAAAAGACATTTACAGTAAAGACCCAAGTCAGCAAAGCCTCAGGACCATGATGACTCGGTCTCCAGTGACCATCCCAGAAGGAAGGGAGGGAGGATACCGGTGCCCTGTATAAACATCATGCCTCACTTGGGGACAAAGCTAGCCCTTAGCCCTGCCTGAGCGACCAAGGGTCGCTGCTTCACACTGCCTCTGCACTTTGCTCCTGATGGACTGGGCTTCGTGTTGACACAGAGTATCTACAGGCCCCCAGGACCTGTCCTGTGAGGCTTCAACTGCCCATTATCGTCCTGGGCCAAGGCATCTGTCCCTGACCTGGCTGAGGATCCGGTGCCCGTGGTCCATCCGGTGCAGGGTTCTGTGTGTTACATCTGTGGAAACTGTGCTTGAGAGATGATCTGGGCTGCCAGGGCGGGTGGGGGAGGGGGTGTGGGAAGAGATGAAGTAACGAAGCTCCACCCTGCCTTCAGAACATTCTGAAGAGAGTAGAAGAGAGGTCTGAGCGCGAAGGCACTGCCTTGGATGCCCACAAGGAGCTAGAAATGGTGAGTTGTTCCCTCCTGTGTGTCCCAGAGAACCACTGTCCCTACTGACATCCTCTGTCACTGTGTCCTCTTAGCACTCTAGTTAAGAACATCTGAGATTGATGTTCGCAATCCTGAAGAGTCACTGGGGCTGGAAGAAAAATCACCCAATGGCTTCATCAGAGCCCTCTCTAAACCACCTTACCCCCTCACTACTCTCTGTTAGTGTGCCCAGGGTGGATATGGAGGCACCTGCCTGGCAAGCCCAGGCCTGATGCAGCCCATTGCTCCAACCCATCCTCCAGGACCCAGGTTATATTGGTGTTTCCCTGACCCAGAGCTCTGCCCAGGAGTGTCTCCCCATCCCTGGTCCTTGGAGAAGACTCCCGTGGTAGAGATGGTTGTGTAGGCATCAGCAGCTTTCCCTAG